AAAAAAAACTGCAACGATATTTTGTTTTATTGTATCAATATTGTCAGATTAGTAGGACCAATGTCAACTTGTGGTTTGGAAGCGATGGAAAATAGATATATATGTATGTAATACATCTATTATTTGCTTTTCTTTTCCGTAAACCGCAGAATGACACTGAATGTTCTAGTTTCAAACTATCGATATGTAAAATCGAAAGAAATATCAGCGGTGGCTCTCATTGTTTACCGCTCTAAATACATATAAATGCAATGATCATATTTTTTCATGTGCGACTAACAATAATAATAGGGAAAAAATTAAGTCAAAGATAAATAAAAGAAAAATGAAAGATGTATATAAAGAAAAAAAAAAAAAAAATATATATATATATATATATATATATATATATATATATATATATGAATGATAAATATATTAAGCTAAAAAAATGTATATAAAGTTAAATAAAAAGTTAATTAAATAAAGTTATATATTAAACTAAAGGAAGTTATGTGTAAATATAGAATATCAAGTTTAATAAAGTTAAATAAAAAAATAGCATCAAAAAGTGTAAATCTCAAAAATTCTTAAATCTAGATTAAACAAATATTATACTAAACAAAAATTGAAGTTCTTAATAAAAAATGTAATAAATAAAAATATGTAAAAATTAAAAAATATATCGTAAGCAAAAATATGCATTTCATTGATTTTTATTAAAGAGAATTAATTTTTATCATAAAATAATGATTTCTCTCTCTCTTTTTCTTGAAAACGTGACGACTCTTTTCCTTACTTGAGAGTTGATTTGAAATTGCCTTAGCTAATTTCATTCATGTATATATACAGCCGCCAATGTGTAAGAGAGTTTATCGTTTGCATGCAAGTTCGTTTACCCCGATGTAATAATCGCCATCTCTTATCTCGCAGTTTCCTGCAGTGCTCTCGCTTTCGCGTTTCAATTACAGTGTGCTGCACCGATCGAGACACTTTAATTCGTTTCTATGTTAAAAATTAGACAATATTTTTGTCTACGATTGAGGCAAAAGAGAAATAAAAACTATAATTTGCTATTTTCAAAGAAAAGAGGAACAATTACAAACTTCTATTTTTTATTATATAAATAAAAATAAAAAAGATATATCTAAGGATAAATATATGTACAAAATGTGTGTAAAATTTTTTGTGAACTTTATTTTTGAAAAAATTGACTTTAAAAAATTCAGAAAACTGATAATAGATCTAACTAAATCTTGTATTATGCATTACATTATCGAATTTATTTTGACATTGCTTACAAATAGATAAAAATAGATGTAACAAATAGATGAAAAAAAGAGATAATATTCTTCGTTAAAAAAAAATAAAGTTTTTAATGCTTTTTTTACATCCAATTTTTTTAGAAACTTCAATTATTTTAAATCTTTATATTAAATAGAATGTTATACTTTTATGCTAGTTTATTAATAACTGCGATAAATTCAACGATATATAACATAAGCAATTGACAGTCATTCATTATGCTAAAAGAGTATAAATCATGTTATAAATTTCTCAAATGACAAAATCAACTGTCTAATAAACGCAATCTCGCATGAAAAAATTTTATATTTTTGCTCACCACGAGTAATCACTTTATTTCAATTGTATTATATTTTTCTACTCTTATATTTATATATTTATATTTATATTTTTTAATATATGTTTCTATATATTTTATATATTATATATATGTATTCGCATTTTTATTCATCTTGACATGATAAAATAATAAATTCTTTTCTTTCTCTCTCTCTCTCTCTCTCTCTCTCTCTCTCTCTCTCTCTCTCTCTATTTACTTGACTTTCTTTATTACACATAATGCCATGATCCATGTTTCTATACTTGAAACACATCTTCAACTATTGAACCCTTTTCGGAGTTCATGTTTGCGTAATAAATGGGCAATCTGCCCGTAGTCTGTAACCGTTGCTCTATTTTCATTTTAGCAAAGGTGTATTACGTACAAAAATTTGCGTACCGTGTTAGAGATTGGGCCAACTCCGGATTGTGACGAATTATTCTTAGCCAAGAAGATAATGATCTTTCGTGACGATCGATCAGCGTCAACATGCGCGTATATATACACACATACAGATTTACGAAATGCTGCGAAATACCGTGACAACGACGAGAACATGTTGCTATGATAAATTTGTTCGTCGTAAACTAAATTGACATGAGATTTTATCAACAACTTTAATATCGAAAAATTCTCTTCTCTTGTTGCTTTACTATAATATTTTTGAGACTACTAATTTAATAGCATGAAGTTGCTACAAAAGGCCAACCAATCAACTAGAAGATTATGTAATATGTAAATACGTTTTACGATTATGTAATATGTAAATACGAGACTCGAAAAAAGATGAAATCGTACGAAAGACTGTTTGTCAAAATGGCGATTATGTTATCTTTATTTTCAATTTTTATAATTATTACTTGCATGATTAACGATAAGCGTCTACCTTGGCAAAATTATCTTATTAAGAATGAGCGTCTTCCTTGAACGCATTCGTCGAAAAATTTAATGCTTTGAAAAACTAAATCTATCTCTTTATTCTCTCCTTGGAAAAAGTGGACGTACCGGTTCTTGAGAGAAAAAAAAGAAAAACGAATTCTCGAACAAACGAATAAAACAGGAAGCGTTTGTATTCCAAGCCACCGATTATGATACGTAAGGGAGGATTTAATACGGTTTTCGGGAGCTACCTGTGTTACGTGTAAGGAAGGTAGAACAAAGAAGCGTTCCTTATGTAGGAGTGCACGACGTGCGGGAGTAGGCCGTGAGAGGAGGACGGGAGCGGGGTGCGAGAGGAAGAAAACAGGAAAGATCGCTTGGACGAAGATAGCGCGGCACAAAGACGTGATTTAAAATCGTCCAGACTCTTTTTTCCTTTTTATGATTATTATTAATAAGTTATTATTCATAGTCCTTATTCATATTAATAAAAAAGAAAAACATTTTTTTCTATTGTTCTCAAATTACCACGCCTTAACTCTTATTTGCCAATTTTAACATTTATATTAATCAAAGGATCATTGAAAAATTGTAGTCGACCAAACTAGCCAAAAAATTAATTTTATTACTACGACGTTTCGACCATATGGTTGTGGTCCTTATCAAGTATACACGATGTAATAATAATCAGAAGGCAGCGTTAATGGTAACATGTAAAACAACGCAATCACATAATAAAAAAACGTTATTTAAAAAGATTCAAAATTAGAAAGAAGCTGATGCGTCCGTGTGAGACTTCGTCAATAACACTAACACTAAACACAAGTTTAGTTATTCACGAAGTCTCACACGGACGCATCAGCTTCTCTCTAATTTTGAATCTTTTTAAATAACGTTTTTTTATTATGTGATTGCGTTGTTTTACATGTTACCATTAACGCTGCCTTCTGATTATTATTACATCGTGTATACTTGATAAGGACCACAACCATATGGTCGAACCGTCGTAGTAATAAAATTAATTTTTTGGCTAGTTTGGTCGACTACAATTTTTCAATGATCCTTTGATTATTCGACTAGCGACATTAAATTATTTACAATTTATATTAATTTTATTAAATAATATGACATTAATATAAATATCATGTATAACATATTATAAATCTAATTTTTAAACTTATACAGGGCCCATTTTAATTTCCCCAGCCAAATATTTCGGAAAATAATGAAAAATCAAAAAAATGTTTTAAACAAAAGTTGTATGGCTTGAAGGGGGCCATCAGATAGTGGCAATGATTTGACCTTGGAGAGTTATTTGAAGATGACGTAAAGGTAACCTTCAATTTCTTAAATGGAACTCCCTATTTTTTATTACATATTCGTGTAGCTTATCTCGAGAGCTTTTCAAAACACTATAATAAAGTATTTCTTCATTGAGTACTTTTCGAGTTATGAGGCTTGAAATCATTTCTTAATTTTGTATAAACCGTAAAATATCTAGTAAAATATTCATTTTTCGATTATCTTGCTTTAATAGTTTTATGTACAAAATAATGAGAGGAATCAATTGATGTAAAGAAAACACATAGTTATTTTTAAGAAAAAATATGTAATTTGCAATTAACAATTACATATTTTTTCTTTGAAACAACTATGTGTTTTTTTTACACCAATTGATTTCTCTCATTATTTTGTACATAAAAGTATTAAAGCAAGATAATCGAAAAATGAATATTTTACTAGATATTTTACGGTTTATACAAAATTAAGAAATTATTTCAAGCCTCATAACTCGAAAAGTATTCAATGAAGAAATACTTTATTATAGTGTTTTGGAAAGCTCTCGAGATAAGCTACACGAATATGTAATAAAAAATAGGGAGTTCCATTTAAGAAATTGAAGGTTACCTTTACGTCATCTTCAAATGACTCTCCAAGGTCAAATCATTGCCACTATCTGATGGCCCCCTTCAAGCCATACAACTTTTGTCTGAAACATTTTTTTGATTTTTCATTATTTTCCGAAATATTTGGCTGGGGAAATTAAAATGGACCACCCTGTATATGTTTTGTGAAAAAGTAATGTTTTAATTATCGTATATTAATCGTATAATAATCGTATAATAATCGTATATTAATCGTATAATAATCGTATAATAATCGTATATTAATCGTATAATAATCGTATAATAATCGTATATTAATCGTATAATAATCGTATATTTATTTCAAAATCTTATATATGCTTTTTTTAATTGTGTAATATTTCAATATAAAGAATTTATCATTCTTTATGCATTTTTACGTATATTTCATACACGTTTAATATTAAATATTTCAAAACTGTTTTAGCTAAAGAATATCTTTTTATAATATAATTTTAATGTAACTTTTCATCTTGTTTCTTACATTTCTAAGATTAAATAAATAAAAATTAGTTTAATTATTTAAGAATAATGTTTCATAATATGATTTTAATGGGTAAAAATTTTCACGATAAGTTTTAAAATGTACTTACCGTCCGGCTTGCTTTTCCAAAAATCATTCGCATCGGAAGCGGAAACACCAATGAACACTCCGGTACGCGATTTTTTCAAGGTGGAAGGATTGACACCAGCGTCAATCAATGCTTCATGTGTCACTTCTAACATAATGCGAAGTTGCGGATCCATTACATGTGCTTGTTTAGGAGATATCTTGAAGAAAGAAGCGTCGAAACTGTGAAGATTTTTAAGTTTGCCAAATCTAGAAGGTGAACCGTAAAGGCCCGGTTTCCAACGTCGCTCGTCCTCAGTGACCATGTCTGTCCCTTTCATTAAATTTTCCTTAAATTCTTCAATGTTTGATGATTCAGGCAGACGGCCTGGAAAAATATCGATGTATTACAAACATTCATCTTATAATAAAATTGGTGATGTATCATAATTTGAGGTAATATAATTACCTGAAATGCCCGCAATGACAATATCACCTTCAAAATAAGTAGGCATCTTGATCTTCAAATAATAAGATTTTGCTTTAACTTTTCTATCTCTCTATAAAAATAATAATTCTTTCTTGTAATTTTAGAATGCACATATAATCGTTTTATTAAAATTGAATTCTTGTATTTTTGTTTTTACAACTTTTACCTCTTTATCTCTTTTAAATTTTAAAATTCTTCAAATTTTATAGAAATTTTCAGCACTAATAAAAATATACTAATACTCGATTTACAAATCGAGAATAATTTTTATTATTTCAAACTAATGCAATTAATGTTAGAATATAGTAAAATGGATAAAAAATATACTTTTCTAATTCTTTTTTAATAGGCGTTTCTATCTACATTTGATTATCGATTTTCATATATACGCATACACATTTTAAAGTTTCATTAGGAAATAGCTATAAAGTTATCTATTTTGTGATATTTTTGTAAAAAAAATTAATATCGGTTGTATTATAATCATCACGAACAACAAATACACAATCGCAATTTTTTGTACAATCGCGTAATGTCTTTTTCTTTATTGCAATTCTGATGAATAGTTTTAATAAAGCAATGAATTGCATTTGACCTTCATTATTTATATGTTTATTTCACAACAGAAAACTTTGTCTGTAAATCGGCTTTATACGCGACACATGTAAGCAGTTATTTTTTAATAATGTAAAATATGGAGTACCACCATGGGACCGTTTTATAAATTCTTGTATTGTACATTGAAGTAATAATAATTTTTGTAATCTCCGTAATTTCTTATAAGCATCAACACTGTAGCAATTTGGAAATATTTATTTTTACTTATCGGTTTTACTATAAACGGAATCTCTTGGTATTTCATTTATTAATCTAATCATTTCTTATAAACTAATTATACCGGTAATTATATCATTTTGTTGTAATTTGTGTTGCATCAATATGCCACGTTCCATTCCACCAATTTTAAAAGTTTACCATTTAAATTCTCGTATTCTAAGCAAGAGAAAGATCATGAAACTACGATTTTTAGAACATTGTTTGGTAAGTGTCGGAAATATTGAACAGACTCAAACAGAGAGTACCAAGTTGAGAGGTATTAAAAAAAACAAACGAACAAAATTGCAATTCAAATGTTCTAATTCACGCACAAATTTATTTTAAAAATTTTGAGCAATATTTATTATGGAAAATGATTTGTTCGGAATTTAATATGAATATTGCTATTACAAGAAGAAGATAATGATTGAAATAATCTTGTCTTAAAATTCTCTTGAGAACTGGAACAGAATAATGAAAGCCATGTTCTTCAATTTTGCTTTCCAGTGGAGTAAATCTAATATATAACGCGGCATACGATGCATATATTTTGACAGTTTGATTGCCATAAGCCTTCTATTGATGACATCAATGACAGCATACACAGAAAACGGAAAAGTTCGAAATTTAATATCAAACTAGTAATAATATCTTTTTCGCGACACCGCCATTCACGCAATGCATTCCATCAATCCCAATTCCTCCGATAAAATCTGACATAAGATTTAAAAAAACAATGTGTTTTTTTATAACCATGACAGGATTATCGGGACTTGCTCTATTAGCATATTCAATACATTCATTTGAAGATTTTAATTTTAATTCATTTTCGTAACAATAAATATGTACTGAACTTCTTGGAATAATTAAAACGTGAAAATTTACCTTTACAATAACCGTGAAGTGTGACCATAGTCCATTAAATTGAACAAAGTTTAAAAAATCACTTTTGATTGAGAGATCAGCAATTTCCACTAATAGCACACCTCTTACCGTTTTTAACTCCAAATGTTATTGATAGGTGCTTGCGTTTATCTTTTATACTTCTTTATCTAGATTTGATTATCATATCCTCGAAAATGACATGTTTAAAAATAAAATGTTTTAATGATCGTTCATCATTGAAAAATTATTACCAAATAAACTTTCTGGGAATAAATTTTTCATGTATATTCATGCAGAATTAATATTTTTAAATATAATTTACATAACTATATACAGGGTGTCCCAAAACTTATAATCAATCTTTCAAAGACAGATTTATCTTTGCAATTAAGCCTTAATTAAAACTCAACTAAAGTAAACTATATTTAAAATTAATCGAAGAATGTGGTTAGGTTAATATTTTATTTCTACAAAGCTTAGTTTACGAAAAAACTCTTATTTCCAATCACTTATAATTCGAAAATTATTAGTGCCTCGACATTCTCGTTGAGGAAAAATCGTCTTCAAATGATCCCAGGAATCTGTCTTTGAAAGATTGATTATGAGTTTTGGAACCCTCTATAATTGTGCAAATATATGTATAATTATAAATAATAGAGTACAGGTCATTATATATATTTATATATAAGTGCAATAACCTTTACATATAATTATATATAAATGCGCATTTTGCGTACTTATACATGAATTTCTGCGTACTTATACATGAATTTCTGTTAGTTTAATATGTAATTATGTATAAGTCTTGCGTCATATATAAATATGTATAAGTAATATAGATTTCTGTTAGTTTAATATGTATAATAATATATAAGTCTTGCGTCATATATAAATATGTATAAGTAATAAATATAATTCAGATACAATCATATAATGGCCACTTTCGAAACGGTGACGCACTTCTGCCCAGAGCATCCCTACCGGCGGTGTAGGTGCGGGAGGGGGGAGGGAGCGATGGCCCCCTTACACCCCCCCCGCGCGCATGTGTGTGTGTGTGTGTGTGTGTGGGGCTACAGCGAAGAAGTGTCGATTAAGTGTACTTCTTGATGGTGTAGACTGTCAATGTTTAATTCCGAGCGTGGTCGTTTCGAACATGGCCATTACAAACGTGTGGCCGTTTCGAACGTGGCCGTTTCGAACGTGGCCATTTCGAACGTGATCAAATTTATCCGTGGCCATTTAAAATTAATTTCTTTTGTCAAAAGCATTTCTTCAACCCACTTTAAAAAAATTAAATATTTTGAATTATACATTTATAAAACTGTAAAACAATTTCTTTATAATTAAATATTTAGTTTACAAATATTCAAAAATATATGTATAATTATCACAAAATATCATTAAATAAAATTTGCATTATTATCTTTTATAACAAGTAGTTTTTAAAGAATTCATTACATGTCAACGTAGAATTTTGAAATATATGTTTTAAATAAATATAATTTTAAATAAATATATGCGTACACAGCATTCTTTACAATTAATATATATATATATATTATATATATAATAATAATATGTGTACATATGAACAGATAATGTATATACACATGAATATGTACGTGAAAAAAATCGCAATTGAGAGAAATATAATTACAATAGTCTATCCTAAAAGAGTATGTAATATTTACTCGGAATATATAATATTTAAAACTATACGTTGACATGAATTTTTAAAAGATGATTTTTTATGAAAAATAATAATGCAAATCTTTTATGATTTTCTAAGAACTAAATTTTTAAAGCATTTTTGGACTAATATACAGAGTGGGGAAAAAGTATGGAAGCAAACAATTATTTCCGAAACTATTCATTTTTCGACAAAATGTCTTAGACATAATTTTTATGGTATGAAAAGATGTATTATGTGGCATAGACGGCATGACCTTGAAATGACCCTTACGAGCTGCATATAAATAACGTAAAAAATTTCAAATGGAACTCGTCAGTTTTTGTTACAGATTCTTGTAGCTGATGTCGAAACGTTTACAAAACACTGCATATGAGCCCCATTCCCTTAAAAACACTCCCAGTTACGAAACAATTGTGATAATTCGTATCGACGAAATTGAAAATAGACAGCGTACGTGTGATTACATGAATGTGTGTAACGCGACTGAACGTCATTATGAGAGATCAGTACAACAGTAGCGATTACTGCAACAAATGGAGAATAACCCGCTTCGATCATTTCTGCCGATACGAAAGACACGCGAAGTTCGTAGAATCAGTTAAGGCGTACATCGATAGAAAACGACAAAAATAGCAAATTTTCAAAACACAATATCCGAAACTTGTATGCCAATTGACACTACTTTTTTAAGGATAAAATAAATGATAATAATAAATAAGGTAGCGATGATCAAGAAATCAAAAAAATTCTATGAATACTCATAGACAGTGTATCATATGACAACAGGTACAATTACATGTTATTAGTGGACGCAACTGAACGTCATGATGCGAAATCAGTAAGCAATGTCAATGTGCATACAAATTGTTTGTATCACAATTGTTTCGTAACTGGGAGTGTTTTTAAGGGAATGGGGCTCATATGCAGTGTTTTGTAAACGTTTCGACATCAGCTACAAGAATCTGTAACAAAAACTGACGAGTTCCATTTGAAATTTTTTACGTTATTTATATGCAGCTCGTAAGGGTCATTTCAAGGTCATGCCGTCTATGCCACATAATACATTTTTTCATACCATAAAAATTATGTCTAAGACATTTTGTCGAAAAATGAATAGTTTCGGAAATAATTGTTTGCTTCCATACTTTTTCCCCACCCTGTATTTAATTATAAAAAAGTTGTCTTAAAGTTTTATGAATTGCAATTAAAAATTCACAATATTGAATTTTTCTTCCGAATGGACTCAAAAAATACGTCCAATAAAAGAAATTAGTACTAACACTGTTTGAAACTTGAAAAACATTTGCATAAAACGTTTAATTTGAGATTTAAAATATTCCTTAAAAGTATATTGAGATAAAATGTTTAATTTGAGGACATTTCATTTAGATCAATTGTATAATTTAAAGACAGTTTCCAACCAATATTTTTATTTCAACGTATACAAATACTACAAAATTGATAATATTATATTTATCGTTCTATAAACAAGGTTTTCGATATGTTATACATAAGATGCGACTAAATGTATAAAAGAAAAAAATATCTTAAAACATGTTCTTTTGTATATACAAGGTATATGATATAAAGTAATCATCGAAAATCTATAAGTAAATCTCGTGAAGTGTAAAACTAAATCAAAAAGTTCTATATCATTTTGCAAATAATCACGCGAAATTTTGAAATATTTATTTTAAAAAATTTGCCAAAGTATAAGCGCGCGGCGATGAAAGCCGTAACATTGTAACCTGATACTATGCGCACAGAGGAGCGGTGAGAGGAGCTCTCATCAAACGTGTCACGCTGTTTTGCTACGAGCCGTTATCATGGTTTGGAGACTTTTTTAACGGACTTGTACTGAACCTCTATCTACAGCGTGATAGACTGAACCTCTTACACTTTACCATATTATATGTTACTTAAGATCTTCTTTAATTAATATGTCAAAATTTTACGTGATTGTTTACAAAATGATAAAGGACGTTTTAATTGAGTTTAACGAGAATTACTTGCATGTTTTTGATAGAGATTTTTATGTTAGACATTCTGTATATAGAATGTTCAGATAACTGAATCGTCTCTGTTAGGTAAATAGATTAAACCAAATAGAAAAATTTTCCGTTTTGTGATTTTCGAAATAATTGATAAGAAACTAATTTTAAACGTTTGACTTATTTGCGCGAGTATAAACACGTGAAGAGATAAAAAAGTCCGTTGTTGCATGATCGCCATGATTTACATAGGAAAGATGATTCAGATATCTGAACATTCTATATACAAGTTGTCTGACATAAGGTCTTCACCGAAAATATACAAGTATATTAAGTAATTTGTAGATAGCTTAATATCGCTAGTCGAATTTTCAAAAGGTTAAATGAGATTGTGTAGTCGACCAAACTAGCCAGAAATATAATTTATTCAATACGACGTTTCGACCATATGGTTGTGGTCCTTATCAAGTATACACTGGAATAGATATATAAGTTGCAAAAAAAAAAAAAAAATTATTTACATCTAATTTTCGGTTTGGACCGTAATATGCACAATTAATTTAGTTTAAATGTGAGATATTTTAACATACATACAAATTAGCCGAAGTAGTGGTAATCAGAGTATCGGCATAGATAATAATCTTGTACAAAGCAAAAGGCACATTAACAAACTTTATTTTTAAATTCAATTTTTAAGAACAATGAGTCCGTGTGGGACCTCGTCAAAGATTGAACACGATCATAAGTAAAACGGAATTACATGACCTTTATTATTTTGTCATAAATGTTGTTTAAGTTTTCTGTGTCTCTTTGTAAGTTGATTAGGTTATCAAATCTCTTTTTATTTGCAACGGAATTGATCTTGGATTCAACTTGTTTTGCATTTAACGGGCGTTTTTATGAGCAGATCTTCGGCACCCCCATGGGCTCTCCACTTTCACCTATCTTAGCAGACATGGTAATGGAAGATATGGAGATGCAATGTCTAAGCTCATTAGGTTTTACCGTTCCTACTTATTATACATTTATCGATGACGTTTTCGCAATAGTACCACGCGCAAAAATCAACGAGATCTTGACAAAATTCAACAATTATCACGAACGCTTAAGATTCACTTATGAGACTGAAGTTGACTCATCCATTAGCTTTTTGAATGTAAAAATTATTCGGTCCGATAATAGACTTATCACTAATTGGTTCCGGAAACCTACATGGTCAGGGAGGTATATAAATTATCATTCGAACCACCCACAAAAGTATAAAATTAATACTATTTACAATTTAGTTGACCACGCGATCTTATTATCTAATGACTGCTTTAAACAAGACAACATAAAGCTAGTTTTTAACACGTTAATTAAGAACGGCTTTCCGGAACATCTTATATATAAACACATTAAAAAAAGACTCAACATTTTAAATAATCGTGACCATAATGTTACAACTGATGTGAATCTTACTCGTTCTGACGTGACTCCGTTTATCAC